GTTTGGTTGCTTGTATTAGTGGTGTAGTAGTACGATCAGAACATGCAGAAACTTCACGACTCTCTGAATTGCAAATGACGGACGAAAGCACGGACGCGAAGGTGGACGTGCGCGCGCGCGCGCTACTCGTCTAAGGATGTTTGCTCGTTTATTTTATAATCGACAAGAGGTTGTACTAACTTCTTCGTATTTTCTCTCGATAAAGCATATTTTCTTTTCGTATTAATATTAAAAATTCCTTTAAATGGCTTCGTTCAAGAAATATATATACATATATATATATATATATATATATATATATATATATATATATATATTTCGTAAAATCGTTTCTATTTTTATAATACTTTTCAAGAATCATATTGTGAAAGCAATAGCAAGTTTTACAGATATTCCAACAAATATATAATATAATAAATAATTACATATATATATATATGTAATTATATATATATATATATATATATATATATATATATATATAATCCTGTCGAGAAATTGAAGTAAATAACTCAACACTAATTCAACATAATATATAATTTATTTATGTCTTCTTTTTCATTTTTTTGTATTTGTACTTAATTTTAACAAAAGCGAGTAAGTAAATCGTATAATAAATATCATTATTACTTTTAATATGATTATTATTATTATTATTATTATTATTATTATTATTATTATATAATACGTGATATATTAGCGTTTCGCAATATAAAAGAGATCCGAGAAACGTATTATAAAAATTATTAAACGTCCAATTTAAAAAGCATCACGTTCTCAAGAAGGATCCGGTTGGATTCTTAAGTACTCGATCAAAGATCTTCGTTTTTTTTTTTTCAACCTCGAACCTATTCAAGCCAATTCCTACTTTATTTTGATTCATGATCGGAAGTTTATATTTCCATTTACGATTTACGTATTTATTGATATCGTTTTGCTACTTGACGATCGATTTAATTTATCGCAAAACAATTGTGGTTGAAATATGAACGACAATTGAAAGAGTATTTTTCTCTCTCTCTCTCTCTCTCTCCCTCTCTCGTTTTTCCTCTCTCTCTCTCTCTCTCTCTCTCTCTCTCTCCCTTTTTTCTGTCTCTCTCGCTTATTTTAACTTGAGACCGTGCTCGATAGTACTGGAAAACGGCTCGGCACTTTGCGACGGTAACGAGAAAAATTGGGTCAACGAGATTACGTTCTTTTCCGTCGCGACGACTCCCCTCTATAATAACCCTCACTTAGCTACTATATACCATATACATTCATACATTCATACATACATACATACATACATACATACATAGACATAAATACATAGATACATACACGTACTACGTACATATGTACTTATGTACTTACGTACGTTAAGAGCATTTAGCCATTTCTCCCTCGCTCGATTTCTTTTCACTCCTATCAAATGAATTTGAAAAGACAGAAATATATAATACATAATTATGTACTTACGTATGTAGATACATACATACATACATACATTCTCTATAAAAAAAAAATCATGATGTTGACTGTTATAATTAACGCGTGAGATCGCGCATTTTTCAACATCGATTTACGCAATATTCTGCGTGGTCTTAATCGTCGCAATTTTTCTACGAGTGTTCTCAAAAGAAGAAAGAGAGAAAGAGAGAGAGAAAGAAAGAGAGAAAGAGAGAGAGAAAGAAAGAGAGAAAGAGAGTGAGAGAGAGAGAGAGAGTTAAATATATATATATATATATATATATATATATATATATACTATACGTTCGTTCAAAAGGTGAAACGATGCTCGATGTAAAAATAGAGGAAAGAAAGAAAAATAAAAGAGAAAGAGAGAGAGAGAGAGAGAGAGAGATGAAAATAATAAAAAAGAGGTAAAAAAGCTGTAGTCGAGAGAACAACGCGAACGTTTTTCTTAAGTTTGCGTTAAAATGAGAGAGAGAGAGAGAGAGAGAGAGAGAGAGAGAGAGAGAGAGGGAAAGCGAAGAAAATAAAAGGGAGAAGGGAAAAAAAAAGAAAAGAAAACAATAGACCGAGAGAGAAAAATGCAAGCTCGTGGTTTTCAGAGCTCCTTATAAGCGGAAAGTACAGGTTAAACGTGGCTCGCACGCACCGTCCGACTTTCTCTGACAATGTTGGAGTCGAGGTTGCACGCGTGAAAACGCGAGTGTGGCTAACAACGTTCTTACATTCTTACGTGTTAGTCTCTATATATAAGTATGCATGTGTATGTGTGTGTATATGTGTTTGTGTCTTTGTGTGTGTGTGTGTAAGCGCAAAACGGAGTTTTCTGCGAGAGTGCTTTGAACGAGCGTTGGAAAGTCCTCAATAACGAGTGCTCCGGCACAGATTTCCTTCCTACCTCACCCACAATTTTCAATTCGAACGTACCTTAACTGGACGTAGCCGCCATTTTAACGCCATTAGAACTTCCGCCTTTTCCATCTCTTCTATTTCTCTCTTTCTTTCTTTCTCTCTCTCTTTCTCTCTCCCTCTCTCTCTCTCTCTCTCTCTCTCTCTCTCTCTCTCTCTCTCCTTTTTTCTTCTCTTTATTTATCCATATATATCTAAGTAGGTATATATAAGTATATATCTATTTATATATCTATCTATCTGTCTATTTGTCTATTTATTTATTTATTTATTTATTTTTTTTTTTGTTTATTTATTTTATTTTATTTTATTTTTCAACGTCATTTCCTTGCACGACATTTTCTTTATCCTCGTCTCACGAATATTAAGAAGCGACTATTATACCGTAAAACGAATCTATTATCTCATTGGTTCGAACTTCAAATTTCTTTTACGAACGAACGAATCCGTTATTATACAGTCGACGTAATCGACTCGACGGATATTAGAATAGGGAGAGTAGGGCGGAGGTGAGGGGGCGAGCACAAAAAGAAAGGGAAGAAGGAATCGATTGGAAGTGATCTAATGTCATTTTTCTTTTTTCTTTTTTTTTCTCTTTGTTTTGTTCCTTTTTCTTTTTCTTCTTCTTTTTTTTTTTTTTTTTTTTTTTTTTGCTATCAGAAACATGAACGAGTAGATATTAAAATTGAAACATTACATTTAATGCAAAAATATCTAATGCAAGAATCTAATGCAAAAATTGGCGAACATGGTTTGTTAATTGCTCATCCATTTGTTATCTCTTTTCTTACAGCGGGAAGAAAGTGTGGGAAGGAAAAAAGGAGAAAAAAAAAAAAGAAAAAGAAAAAAAGAAAACATGGGATCTACCTTGATTATTCTTTGCTGTTAGCATTTAACCGAATTCGCATTTGCATCGTCGGCAATTATCGGTATTTTCTCAAGATCGCCGAAGAATCTTCTATTTCTTGAGAGAGAGAGACGGAACGGAATAATTAATTTCTTCGAGTCAATTAGAGCTAATTATCTACCGCGGCAAAAGCTACGAGAAGAAGGGAATCGCTTTTGTATTCTTTCGAAAGCTGTCGATGGTCCTTAGAATGAAATTTTTCTCTTTTTCTTCATGGAATTAACGGTGATTGGTCACTTTTTGATGTTAAACCTCTTTCTTCCTTCCTTCCCTTCCCTCCCCTTCCCTTCCTTTCCTTTCCTTTTTCTCCTTTTTTTTTCTGTTGTTTTTTTTTCTCTTCCTTTCAAGATAGATCACGACAGACGTAAATACAGACATCGGGGAATCGTTTATTTCTTATTGTCGGTTAAGTTTAATATCTTTCGTATCGTAATAAGACATCGTAAAGGAACTCTCTCTCTCTCTCTCTGTCTCTCTCACTCTCTCGATTTATTCGTGATGCACCCAGGAGACAGCGAGAATTTCTGTATCGCGACACCTTCGCTCGGAAACTTCGCCATATTCTCAAAGCTAATTTACGCGGT